GTAAACAATGTCGATCTTTTGGAGGGGGTAAGCCAAATCCCCACTTTTTATTCAGAAAATTTTTCCAAAACAATGAAAGTTATAGAAAGGAGTTTTTATAGGTAAAGAATGACCACTTGTATTTTTTGTAAGGAGTGTATTGAAAATTAAAATCTTTTGTTGTTCCTCTTGTCTTTTCTGTTCGACTTCTAAGAAACTTTGTTGACAGAAACCCTCCTCTCCAAGACACTGTTTCCACTAAAATTTTTCATACAAGAGCACCACCTGCCAGTTATCTTGCACCAAAACACTTTTGGCTTACATGCCGAATATGTAAAGGAGTTAAGCAAGTCCAACCTCTACAAAAACCAACTCATCAGAGTACGAAACAATGTTATCTCCAACAAAATATTTATTTTTCTTTAGGCAGAAAATTTGAGACAAATGATTGTCAAAAATAGTTAGTACAGTATTAAATTAAAATTATCTATTAATTTTTAAAATTAACTACTTTATTAAATATTATTTTAATATAGTTTAAATCTATATAATTATATAAAAAAAGTATAATAGCTTTAAATATTTTTTAACAACTTCTTCAACTCTTTCTAATGACCACTTGAATCAAAATTTCTTATAAAAGAAAAGTCAAGTTTGTATACTAGAGAGTAGAAAATACCTATAGTAAGTAGACAACAGAGTAGTTTTTATAAAGCTTAACCTTTACTACTTTTATGAAAACTTCTTTATATATTTGACATATAAGCCGAAAGTATTTTTATACAAGATAACTAGCTAGAGAAGTGTGTCTTTGTATATAAAATTTTGGTGGAGATTATAGTTTTCTTCTATTAACAAAGCAAACTATTGCGAAATAACTAGAAAACAGTGAAGAACTTGCTATTTTTAAGCTCACTCTTTTACTTGGCCAAGTGATTTCTCTTTTACTCATTTCTGCTTTCCTACTAGGCTTTCAAAATTTTTTTACAAAAAGTAGAAGATTTGGTTTACTCTTTTTAAAAGATTAATATTGTTTACTTTTCAAATTTGGATGAATTAGCAAAATGCAACTATGTGTTTGTTTACAGACAAATATGATGCTACTTCATGAGACTCAGTTTGATAACTCCAATTATGACAGCAGGTAGCTTGAAACATAGGTTCTCAGACAACAGCAGCACCTGGCTCGAAATACAATTAGAATAGACAATGAAGCTAACCGAAATTGGTAAAAAGATTGAAAAGTAAATTTAATGTTAAAGCAAAGCTTTACAGTAGAGATATACAAATATTGTATTTGTTATAATTTTTATTAGCCATGCACAAGTTATAATAGTGCTTTTAGGGTTTTAGATTTCTTTTTATGTTTTTTTTTTTTCAAAATCAGTATTTCTTTTTTCTTTTCTGTTTTTTCTTTTTTTTTAGTCATTTTTATATATTTTTTTTTAAAAATTTCCTCTTTTGTCTTGTGCCCCTTGAGAAGAAGAAAGAATTAAAAAAAAAAAAAGATCTTGACGAGGTATACAACAAACTGTCAAATAATCAAGGGGGTATCGTTTTGACAATCAAAATCTGAAATAAGTTTTAAATCCCAAATAAGACTAATAGTTGTTATAGCAAGTCATATTGAGTTTAGCCTGGTAAATTTTTATTGAGTTAGAGCTACAAGTTGTAAGGATTTAGTACATTTATACATAGATTATATAACAGTTCACATAAATAAAGACAAAATCGCTTAAAAAAAAAAAAATAAATAAATATTTTTTTAAATTTTATATGATTTTTTGTTTGCTTAAAAAATTTTAGTTTAATCTAATTTTATATAGTAGTTACTAGTTACTTTATAAAATATTTGTACTTATTCCTTAAATTGTTTGTAGCCAAATTTGCTTGCAAATTTTTTTAAATTTTAAATTTTTCTAATAAAATTTTAAATATTGATTTTAGCTATATATTTTCTAAGTAAAATATTTAATTGAGTTTTGCTATTTATCACTACTGGTGATATTATCGGTGTTGCTATATTTCAAAAACGTACTAAGTAAACAGAATCGGGTTTTCTAAGTAAAAATATTCAGGACTTCTAAAAACTTAATAAAAATTGAGATCGGGCCCTATCGGGCCCTTATAGTAGTTATATATATTATATATAAAAAACAATAGTTCTCTAATTTCTAACTCTAATCCTAACAAATCTTAAAACCGGTAAATATTACCACTAGTAGTAAATGCTAAATCTTTATTTAATTTAAGATTTAATTTATTTTTATTTTCTTTTTAAACAGTCATGTCTTTATTTATGCAAACTTTACATAACTATTATAAATAAATACAACTTTTTTATAAATATAGTTCTATTCAATAAAAGCTACCCAAGCATATTGCCCAAGTTGATCTATCATAACAACTATTCACTTCTTCCAGAATCCAAAACTTTCTAAAGATTTAGTACTATAAAGATACTCCTATAATACTTTGCTGGCTGTTGTATAGCCTATTTATAACTATTAAACTTTCTCTTCTAATTTTTTCTTCTTCTCAAGAGGTATGAAACAAAAGAAAGAAATTTTTAAAAAGGTTATATGAAAACAAAAGAAAAAAAAAAAACAGAAAAAAAAAAAAACAGACAAATTGCAAAAAAAAAAAAACAAAAAAAAATATAACAATCTTGTGCCAGACAAGTATAAAAATTATATAACAAATACAACATTTGTATATCTCTACTATAAAGCTTCGCCTTAATATTAAATTTATTTTCTGATCTTCTCACCAACTTCAAATAGCTTCATTGTCTGTTCTAATTAGTATTTTGAGCCAGGTGCTGCTATCATCTGAGAACCTGTATCTTAATTTACCTATTGCCATAATTAGAGTTCCCAGGCTAAGTCTCTTGAAGTAGTGCTATATTCATTCGTAAACAAACACATAGTTGCATTCTGCTAATCTGTCTGAATTTGGAAAGTAAACAATACTGATTTTTTGGAGAGAGTAAGCCAAATTCCCACTTTTTGTCAAAATTTTTTGGAAGACCAATAGGAGGGTGAGTAGAAGTAAAAGAGGGACCACTTGGTCAAGTAAAAGAGTGTAGCTTGAGAAAAAGCAAAGTTTTGTTGTTTTCTCTGTATTCTTTTTCTAGAAATAACAGCCTAAGTAACTTTGTCAACAAACAAACTGTTGTCTTTTTACTAAAATTTTGTATCCAAAGATACATACCTCTAGCTAGTTATTATCAACTCCCTCTAAGTGCATATTGCCAAGACTAGTACTTTAATCTATATTTAGAGAGAACTTGCAATTAGAGAAAAATTAAAATTATTAAAAATTTTATTAATAAAAAATAATAAAATTTTTAAAAATTAATAATTTTTGATCTATTGATCCAATTTGAGTGATTTAACTACCAAAATGATCCTTTTATAAAGTTGTTTTTAATGAATTTAAAATTAGCTAAATCTAATTATATAATTTTATTCAAAATTGTTAATAATTTGTATTATATTAACTATAGTAAATATAATATAAAATATTAACAATTCTGAGATTATGTAATCAGATTTGGTTGATTTTAGATTCATTAGAATCACCTCTATAAGAAAATCATTTTGATAGTTAAATTATCAAAATTGCATTAATATATCAAAAGTTATTAATTTTTAAAGATTTATTATTTTTATAATCAAAATTTTTGTTGGAGAGTTGTGGCCTACTTAGTGGTTTGTCTAGAGGTCAACTCTGCTAGTGGGACTCCTCTATGTGACATTTGGCATACAAGCCAAGAGCATTATTATACAAGATAACTGGCAAATGGCGCTCTTGTATAAAAAATCTTGGTGAAGTGTGGGCAAAGCCCAACTTCGTCGACAAAGCTTTTAGGTCGTTACTTCAAAGAAGAACACAGGGGAAACAACAAAATATATATTTTTCTAAAGCTGCACTCTTTTTACTTGGTCAAGTGGTTCCTCTCTCACCTCTTTTTATTTTTCTATCGGTCTTCCAAAATTTTTGCAAAAAGTGGGGGATTTGGCTTACCCTCTCCATAAGATCGACATTGTTTACTTTCCAAATTCGGATGGACTCGGTAGAATGCAACCACGTGACGTGTTTACTTACGAATATGGCGCTACCCCGGAAAAGTCAGCTCGGAACCTCCAGTTAAAGAGATATTTGAATGTGGTCATAGGTCGGAAAGACATTATACGTTAAGGCAAAGCTTTATAGTAGAGATATACAATTGTTGCATTTGTTATATAATTTTTTCAGCCTTATACAGGTTATAATAGTGTATACTTGTTACAAAGAGAGGTGCAATCCTTCTTGACTTTTTATTTTTGTTCTATAAAAGTTTTTTTATTTTTTCTCATTTTTTTTTTTGGTGTTAAGGTGACCTCTACAGCCTAGGGACTTTTTATTAAATAGATATATACATATTAGTTACAACGAGAGTACATATAGCCACATATGCACCTTTTAAGTCCCTAATTTAAGTAGTCCACCCAAAGGTTCTACACTATCTGCCATACCTGTACATCAGCAAAAAAAAATAGGCCGATATATATCGATTACTAACCAGGTGGATGCAAATCGATACTAATCACCCTTGCCGATTACTAATGATCATGATAGTAATCGATATATAACATATTCGATTATTAGCGAAAAACGATTTAAGTCGATATATAGCAGGTTCGATTTATAACGAAATATGATAGTATTTGATAGTAATCACCTCTGCCAATTAATAACGATCTCAATAGTAATCAATATACTATATAGCATATTCGTTTATTAGTGAAAACAATAGTAATTAATATAGTACCTGACATGATATAACCGATCATATAAATTTATTTAATCTATTTAAGTTATTTTATTTACAAATTTTTCACATCCCATACCCCTCATATGTACATATATACGTACGTAATAATGATCTATTTACAAATACAATTAATACTTATCACTTTTTATCAGCTTATGCTATTGATATTTTATGCCTTCAAAACCCGTTACTTATCGTTATGCTAGTTCCAAGTTTTTCTAAATTCTGAATCCCAAAGTTCAATCCCGCCTCTATTTAACTTTTCCGGTGAAGCACAAAAGCTGCAAAGCATTAGTAATATAACAAAATATCTTGTTACTAGTTTCAGATCCAAGCTCTCGATCACAGCTTCATTAACTTTTCCCGGCAAAGTACAAAACTTGCTAGAAGGAAAGAAAATATTAATAATATACAAAAAACAACAAGAAACACCAATAACAAAAAAAGCTA